CGAATTAGTCACAAACTCTAGAAGCTGCCCCAGTGGCTGCCTGAGGCTTTGGGGAAAAACTAGACACAAACCATAAAAGGCAACATTAAAATAACTAAGACTCAGCCAGGGAAATAGCAAAGTGGGAAAATTCATTAACCGATGCAAGGCACACACTAAGCTTATGCAGCAAAGTGTACTTTAGAGTAATGAGAGTCTTAAATAAACAAATTGAACCAGAAAAACAACAAATATTCAATGATTTGTGGTTTCATGAAAAGACATTAATTTTTACAAAATAAAGTATAAAATAATCGTCATAACAACCAATAATAGTTTAAAGAAAAACAACATAAATACAAACTTGTCCCTTTTTTTGATCGAACAGTTAAAGAAAATTTAATGCCAAGCTTTCCCAACATCTTCCAAAAAAAGAGAAGACAGAACACTTCCAAATTCATTTTACCAGGCTAAAATTCCCCTGATATATAAGCCTGAGAGTCACACTACAGGAAAAGAAAATTATAGGCAATAACCCTAATGAACATATGAAAAATGTTCCACCAAATACTAGTAAATTCAACAGCAAACTGAAAGGATCATACACTAGATCGGGAGGGATTTATAGGTTGAATACATTCTGGATATCTACTGTTTAGCATGGTGTTACAGTAAATAATTATGTAATTTGTACTTAAATATTGCTAAGAGACTTGATTTTAATCTTGATCTTATACACCAAAAAAGTGTATAAAATGATAGGTATGTTAATTATTTAGCTTTATTTATTTATGTATTTCAATAATTTTATTGAGAAACAGATAGCAATGAGAGTTTCAAAACTGATTAATAGGACAGTTCATTAATTAATACATTGCGTATTGTGGTTTTCTTAGTGGTTATGCATAGTACAAGATGCAGACACGATATTCTGTCCTCCACAAACACTATTAGAAAAACTCTTTCTATTCATTGAATTAAAAGAAAGTAGCTGTGTATCTATCCTATTTTGAATGTACACATACAAAACGGTCGTTCATTTGTATCCTCTTTTTTTGATAAACTTGTCCTTTAATCCTAAAAAAGTTAACAGAAACCCTGAGAACACTAAGAAAATAATAGTCATAAAAGAAACGCAGAAGGGTCGTACCAGATAGCTCAGCAGACTAAAGCGCCTGCTTCTACAGAGCACCGCGGCCGGGGTTCCATCCCTGCCTGCTGAGCCGGCCCCGACGCTGCCCCTAGGGTGCGCTGAGACAGCGATTGAGACTGGGCGTGGTGGCACTCGCTAGTTATCCCCGGGCTTGCGAGGCTGAAAACAGGAGCATCACTACGAGTCCAATCTGTGTAGCGATATACTGCGGAGCCTGTACTAAATACAAAACAAAACAAATAAAAATGCAGGAGGATCATGCATCTGCTTGCAGCTGGGGAGACAATGTTCGCACCAGAACGTCTGCCTCATTTTTTCCTTAGAGGAAAATGACAGAGCAGGACACCCTGGATTGAACAGGAAGAAACAATACACCCTGGTGTTTAAAAACGCGAGCAAGGTGGGGCTGCCCCTGAAATCAAGGCTGCGTGAGTCACTTCTGTCTTCAGTGTATCTGACTGCATTCACAGAAAAAGGAAAAATGTGTTCACCTGAATGGATGGAGAGTAGAAAGACCACAGGTCCTCACAGTGTCAGTGACAGGAGAGGTGCTCAGTCCAGTTGGAAGGAAATTTAAAAAGAACCGGAAAGAGCCTTGCTTCTTACAGAGGGAAATTGAAGAACGAGGAAGGCCGGAAAGAACCGTGTCCCGGGCTTCTGCTCAGCATTTCTCTGGAGGCCCAGGAGAGGGCACGAGGGCAAGATGAGGCCACCACAGCGAGGACGGTGATGACACAGAAGGCTAAAGGAGGAGCTGGCTGTTCAGAAATCCACAAAGCCATTATGTGAAAGCAGCTTGATTGTGTACACAGAAAAGAAATAAAGACCAGGAGGAAAAGGGTAATGATCGTGTCAATCTACTGGACGCAAATTAAAATGTACAGCTGCAGACATTTGTGGACACTGATGAAGCAGCCAGAGCAGACCGAGTGGAGACAAAGGAGCCCCTCAGCCTGCGTCCCCAGGAAATTCAGGCATGGGAAGGCACACAGCGAGGTGTTAGGAAGTGTTTCCTGGGTGGGGAGAGAAAGCCTCACAGAGGGTGGAGAGGACAGAGACAACATTAGACTCGGAGAAGCGGGGCGTCGGCCAGCTCCAGGAGGTGAGCTAGGACAGTCCCCCAGGGGACAGGGACAGAGGGACAGTTCAGTCAGATAGCCTGACGTGACAGCAGGAAACAGAAGTGAGAAATGTTCAGTGAGAAGGAGACCCGCAGGAAGAGGCAGAGGGTGGAGAAGGAGAGTAAAGGAATTAAGATGTGTTGAACATGTGTATCTACTGTGAGGGTGAATGGAAACAGAATTTCCTACAAGCTGCACTCCTAAAATATGTTTTTAATTCTAAAAATGGAAGCATGAGTGCTTCTCTGTCTCTCTGTCTCTCTGTCTCTCTCCATCTCTGTCTCTCTCTGTCTCTGTCTCTGTCTCTCTCTTTCTCTGTCTCTCTGTCTTTCTCTGTCTCTGTCTCTCTCTGTCTCTGTCACTCTCTGTCTCTCTCCATCTCTCCGTCTGTCTCTCTCTCTCTCTGTGTCTCTCTCTGTCTCTCTCTCTGTCTGTCTCTCTCTGTCTCTGTCTCTCTCTGTCTCTGTCTCTCTGTCTCTCTGTCTCTCTCCATCTTTCCATCTGTCTCTCCATCTCTCTGTCTGTCTCTCTCTCTGTCTCTGTCTCTCTCTGTCTCTGTCTCTCTCTGTCTCTCTCTGTCTCTCTCTGTCTCTCTCCATCTCTCTGCCTCTCTCTGTCTCTGTCTCTGTCTCTCTGTCTCTGTGTCTCTGTCTTTCTCTGTGTCTGTCTCTCTCTGTCTCTCT